GTCCCAGTGCCTTGAGGTGCACCCTAGCAGTGAAGCCTTTGGTAGGTTGACCTGGAGGGGCGGGCCCAGCATAGGCTGCCCAGGTCTGTGTCTCCCTGGTACACTACAGTGGGCAGGAACACCTAGCCAGTGCAATTCAAACAAACTGTAACTGACAAAGAAACTGGGCCTCCTATATATGGTTGTATAAAAGCAACAAAAAATATGGGAAGAGGGAACAACAAGAAAGGGTCCTCGGCCCCCAAACCTGAGAAACATGCAATATCAGACACGGCACCAATAGACATAAAGCGATATCTCCACAGCCTCATAGACGAGTTCAGGAATGAAGTTATTAACGACCTGAAGCAAGATATAAGTAGAATAGTTAGAGAAATGCTAAGCACCGCCCAAGAAAAAACAGATGGTGGAATGGAAGAACAGAAAAAAAGGGGAGAATTGTTGGATGGAGAAAATAGACAAAAAATAGAATATGTGAAGCAAGTTCAAAGAGATTACCAGGAAACTAAAACTCTATCTAACAGCTTGAAAGAAACTAAGGATAGATTATCTGAACTGGAGGGCAGATTTGTAATATGGGAGCATGAAATGAAAAACTTCTTAAAAAATAACAAAAAAACAAACAGCAACAATACAAAGGCTACAAGATGATAAGAGGATCGATCCATAACTTAAGAATTAAGAACATAAAAGAAGAAGTAGGGACACAAACAAATGGACTACAAAAGCTATTCACAGAAATAATCCAAGAGAATTTCCCTAATTTAGCAAAAGGTAAAGATACTCAGATGTATGAGGCATATAGGACCCCAGCCATCTACAACCCAGACAGAGCTACACCCAGGCATATAATAATCAAAATTCCAGAAATCCAATATAAGAACAGAATATTAAAAGCTGTCAGAGACAAGAAACAGATCACTTACAAGGGAACACCCATCAGAATTACCGCAGACTTCTCGGCACAAACCATCAAATCACAAAGAGCGTGGGGGGAAATAATTCAAGCTTTGAAAGATAATAACCTCCAGCCAAGATTGATATATCCTGCACAACTGTCCCTAGAAATTGATGGAAAAACAAGGTGCTTTCAGGATAAAGAGGAACTAGGGGAATTTGCAACCACCAATTCAACTCTACAGAGAATACTGCAGGATATTCTAAAAAAGGAAAATACCAAGATTCCAGAAACAGTGGCAGAGAGGCCACAATGAATGGAGCAGAAAGCGAAATGAAGAAGACAAACTGACAACAAATGACAGAAAAAGAGCTCAACAGAAATGAGGCAGAGAAGATCAGATGGTAGGAACAGCTATTTTGGAGAAAACAAGGCATCATAATAGCTAGTGCTGATTTAGTATCATCTTGTTTTGAAGTCCCATCAAACCTGTATGCTTCTGTCTCCATCGGTCTTAAAAGGTTGTATTTTATTGGATTTTATTATATATGATAATATAAGTAAAAACTTTTATAGACAAGGAGATTATACAGAAACCATTGTTCATTTTCTGTTAATTGGCTCTAAATACCCTGTAATAATATCATTCTCTTGAATGGTTTTATAGTGACTTGATATGTTTGGTGCTACAGTATACGAAGTTATACTCAAAGATTTCAAGGAAAGAGACACTATGGTAACTATTTTTATGTCAGGCTATCTTGTGGTGAAACACTATTTTGCTTAAATGGTTATGTTTTGACCTGCGCTGTTGTGTTGTTATGCCCTCTTTTATCTCAACCCCCCCCTTTTTTTAAATTATTTACTTTTTTCTTTTTATCTTTTTAATTTTTTTTTTTTTGTCTTTTTCATTTTTATTGGTACTGGGGATTGAACTCATGACCGCCTGCTTGCAAGGCAGGTACTTATGCCATTGAGCTAAATCCCCAGCCCCTTATCTTTTTAATTAAGAGAAAAATAAATAAAAAATAGCAGGATACATTATAGTAACCTACTTTGATTTCCTATTAACTTGATTTGAAATCCTGTATTGCCCTCACCATCTTGTTTTGACTGATTTCCCCCTATTCTGCTTTGCTTGATAGTACCAAGTTCAAAAGTATAGGCAAAACTGTGAAGACAATAAAAATCATTATAACGCCCATTCCGGTTGACTATTATCTTCTTTTAAAGTCCTGTAATGTCTCCAATGCTTTGGTTTTATTCTTTACTGTTTTGTTCAATTTTATTATAACTGGCAATTCTTCTTAAAATAGCAAGAGGCAGTATGGTAACCATTGTTGATCACCTTGTATTTTGTTTTTACATTATCTATTATGTCCATCCTTTTTATTTGACTGACTCTGTTCTGATATGTCACATTTTTTTTTTACTCTCTTCAAAAAAAGTAATAAGAACTGTGGGAGTAATGAAACCCAAAATATGTAATTGTCATTGTACAAAAGAAAAGAAAGTGCTCTAAAGGTTATAACTGCATATATGTTTAAGTGTATAAGAGAGATAACCATATTACTGAGTTTTTATGGATCATTGAACAAAACTGCACTCTCACTGTTTGAAAGTCCACTTTTTTTTTTTTTTGTCTTTTTCCTTTTTATTGGTACCAGGGATCAAACTCATGACTGCCTGCTTGCAAGGCAGGCACTTATGCCGCTGAGCTAAACCTCCAGCTCCCTGAAAGTCCACTTTATATGGTTCAATTTTGTAACTTGAACAACTATTTTTTTTTGTCTTTTTCATTTTTATTGATACCAGCGATCGAACTCACGACTGCCTGCTTGCAAGGCAGGCACTTATGCCGCTGAGCTAAACCCCCAGCCCCTTGAACAACTATTTCTAAGATGAGAATATGTAATCTATTAACTAGTGATTTCTTACTGTTTATTTTTTAAATTGTTTTATTTGTACCCTTTTTCTGTTTTTTTCTTTTTCTCCTTAAATAAAAAAAAGAAGAAAAAAGAAAAGTTCTATTAGTAATAATAATTATTAAAGGGTTTAGTTGACCCAGGTGAAACCAACCACGTGGAAGAGTCTGCAGCAACAGTGAGGGGGTAGCAGCTGGGAAGTTAGGTGAATCAGCCTGAGGCCTTGGCATACAGAACAGCGGAAGCAGGTAGGGCCACTGCTGTGTACCACAGGGCTCCACAGGGCTCCAGCGACAGCCCTGGCATCTGGAGACTGAGATCAGCTCCACGCCCAGCACAAACCCCATAGCAAACCCAGGTGGAGTATACAGCACGCTTCTGGGAACCGACTTGGACACTACTGTGGCCCTGTGAACCCCAGAGGAACCTTACTACTTTACTTCCATTCGTCTGTTACTTTGTCTAGCTGCTTACCCTTTTTCTGTGTGATTGGGGTGTTTTGTTTAGTTTTGTTTCTTTTTTTACATGAAAAAAGAATAAAAATGATGATATAGAATTTCAAAACAAAAACCAGCCAACCAACCAACCAAAGGTTTAGTTGAGAAGAATCTCTTTAGAGAGACATAGCAGAGAGCTGCAAATGAACTGATATAACAACCAGGATCCACATCAAGGGGATCAGTGGGAACAGATGGTTTGGCCACAGTCTGAGTTCAATCCCCAGTAATGAAAAGAAAAAAAAAAGATGGTCACATCCAGGAAAGCAAGACGTGGTCAGAAACTGTCGGCTAACCTCTACCTGGGACTTGACCTGCCTGAAACTGTTAGCTAGCTTGTGACTAGCCACTATCCACTTAAACCAATCAGTATTTTCCTTGGCCTAGTTTTCCAAACTCTGCAGAAGTCTCATCTGTGTCCAAGAAGGAGGCCAAACAGTAGTTTTGTACCACCCAACCCATGGATTGCTGTCTACACAAATAAACTCTTTAAAATTTTAGGGTATACACGTTTATCCATATATGTGTGTGTGTATGCTTGCAGAGGTGGAGATTGAGCCTGGGACTTATGCATGCTAGGTAAGTTTGTTTTTCAATAAAAGGAAATAAGCAGAGGGAAAACTGGAGAGGAATTTATATTAAATCTAAAGTTTTCTACTTGTTTAAGATTATTTCTCAAGCAAACTGGTGCTAAATGGAAGTAAGAGGCTGGAGATACAGCTCAGTGGTGAAGAACATGCTTAACATATATTTGGCCCTCGGTCTGATCCCCAGTGTAAGAAAAAAAAAAAAACAGAGATTTTATTGGGGGGTGGGGATCCAAGGGTGGAACCCAGAATGTTACATGCACTAGGCAAACGCTTTCCCACTCTATACCCATACCCTTTTCCATACCCCCATCCCCATTTATGCTTAGAAAATAATTACATATTTTCAATGAATAGCTAGATGCACAAGAGTTCAAGGATTTGCTCATTTGATAATGCTTTCAAATAGCCTTTTTTTAAGGGGGGAAGTTACCAGGAATCTAACTCAGGACCTCACGCTTGACAAGCTGCAAATTCCCAACTCTCAGCCTTTTAATTTATTTTTACTTAGGAAACCCATCTTAATCAAACATTACAGCAAAAATTATATTTATCTAATTTAACTTTTCTGATGGAATCTATGTTAACCTAGAAACTTTAACATTTTAAGTTAGGATCCATTAACAGTTTTCTGTATTTTAAGAATCCAACATTCTGGCCAAGCATGGGGCACGTGCCTGTAATCAATTTGGGAGGTTGAGGCAGGAAGATCACCTGTGGATCAAGGCCAGCCTGGGCCTCATAGTGAATTCAAGGCCAGCCTGAACTATATAGTGAGACCTGGTCTCAAGAAACAAAATAAATTAACTAAGAAAAGAAAAATAAAGCAAATTCAACAATTTATTATCTCTAAAAACATAGTTACACATCAATGTTTTAAATGACAATTAACTTAATATATCCCTGACCAAAAAAAAAAAAAAATCTATGACTGGGTCAATCTATGACTGGGTCTCAGATGTAACTCAGAGGAAAAGCCTGTGTCTAGCATGCAGAAGGCCTAGGATTCAGTCCCCAGCTCTGGGGGAAAAAGCCTTTCACTTATTATACAGAACCTAACAGCAAAACGTACATGATGTTTTCCTCTCCTTACCCTGAAGGTGTGAGTCATCCAGGAAGTCTTCATGAGTGTCTTTTGATTCTCCAGGTCTTGCTGATCTATACTCACTTCTCAGAGAGATCTTCCACCATCTAAAGATTATCTGTAATTGAGCAGAAGGTATTAGAGTTTAAAACTAATTCCAATCCTGGCAGTCATGAGTTTTGAAAGATAACTGTGCTATGATCTTGCTGACATCACTGGTAACTTAGCAAGTAGAAGTAACATCCATCAACATTTTACTTAGAAATGAGGGTCACAGAATCACGGCACTGGGAGGAATTTTAAAATGTTATTGGGGCATGCCAGATGCAATGGTACATGCTTATAATCCCATCCCTCAGGAGGCTGAGGCAGAAGGAGCACTACCATGAGCTGGGGTACACAGTGAGTTCAAGGCCAGCCTGAACTGTATCTCAAAAAAAAAAAAAAAAAAAAAAAAGCAAAAGCCAACCTAAAACTATCAAGTCATACAAAGCACAGTGGTACATGCTGATAGTCCCTACTACTCCAGGGGTGGAGGCAGAATTGCTCTGAAGCAGTTGTGCCACTCTCCTTCTTTCTTCCCAAGACAATATGGGCAGGGAAGAGGGTGAATAACTTTCTCACAGAGAGTGACAACTCCAGGGCCAGGGAAAATACCATTATGCTTTGTTCTGTCACCTGTCGGGGACCGGGCTGTGCAGCGGTCAGGTCACTGACCACAGGGCCCTCTGGTTATGTTGGGAAAGCTCATATTCACGGCCTCTGAAAGCCAGGTCAGACCACAGCTGAGGACATTGGGCTTTCACTTCTATTCCAGAGCAGTAAACTGCTGACCTTAGAGATAAGACTGTTCTCTTCATTAGCAAGATTTACTGCATAGAGTATCTTTGTTCTAACTTCTCAAGGCCTGCTCATTTTCAAGAGCTCTTGCCTCACATCTGCCCTCCACTTCCTGCACCCTCCTGAATTGTCAAGGGCCCCATACCTACAGCCAAGTCTTTGTCATAGCTCCAACAGAGTTCTGACCTCTCTGAACCCCCACAAACAGTATTTGCATTGTCTTTAACTAACCCTTCTCCATGTGCCCCTAAGATCTGGGTCCTGACTGGCTCCCAACAGTCACTGGCTAGTGTGGGTTCTTGCTTCAGGGATAACGGCGATGAATGTTATAGGCAAAAGCTTTAACAGTAAAGGAAGGAGATGAGAAAGAACTTGAGTCGGAGTAGGAGAAAAGTTCAAGGAGGCACAGCTCTGATGAAGATGAGATTGGACTATGGCAAAGGCAAGGCTCAAGCTTTCAACAGGCTGTCGAAGTGGACTGGAGTGCAGTTAGCTGGCAGCAAATCTTCTAGAGCTTTTTATGATAGCAAAGAGACTGCAGTGGCTCAGGTGCTGATCACCACCACTGGTTGAGTGATCGTTATCTCAGTTCTGGCAGTTTCAGCACTGGAAAAATCTTGATTCTCATAAAGTGAGTGCTCCTGTTGGGGAAGGGGTGTTCTCAGCTTTGTAGTTAAGACAGTGGCTGGAGATGGCCTCACACCCACTCCAGGTGAGAAGAGCTGGTGATGGGTTTCCCTGCAAATCCCTTGTTTTAGTGTCCTCAGTCTCCCCTTTGGTGCTGGGGATTGAACTCACGACCTTGCGATTGCCAAGCAGTCACTTACGCTGCTGTGCTAAACCCCTGGCCTTGTGTCCTCGGTTTTGAAGGATAAGATTAATTAGATAAACTTAAGGTTAACAAGCCATATGTGACCAGTTTTTGGCTTATCCTCACTAAGTGATTACCCCTCTTACATGCAGGAATCTGACTTAAGGTGATAGAGGAGACGCGTGCAAAATGAAGGCAGTGATATCAAGCTTTATCCTTTGTTAGTTACCATCGGGGCACCTGCAGGCCCAAGTGGAGATATTGGGTTTCTTTATTTTCTGTTGATTTCTTTTGTTTTGTTTTAACAAAAGCATTGTTTAGTCCTGATTGCCTCTGAGGGGAATACAAATCATACTAGTAACAACGAGTAACAGGTTAAATACCTGGGACCTTGTTTGTCTTCTGCCCCAATGTTACTCAAGAGTTGCATTTACTCCCACACTTTATTCTTAGAGACAGATGCTATCGAGAAGGCATCCTTTATGATGTTCCTGTTTTTCTGAGGTCAATGGGATGGTTTGGGTGAGTCAAGGAAAGAATACACAATATACTTTTAAAGGTAACAGGTCCTGAGTTAAACCCAGAAGTGCACCTGCCCTTCATCACCTTGGTGGGCTCTCATTATTCCAGTCTTATGCACAAAAAAGTGTCATACAAAGCTGAGTGAACTGGTGCACACCTGGAATCCCAGCACTTTGGGAGGCTGAAGCAGGATGATTGCAAGTCGGAGTCCAACCTGGGCAATTTAGCAAGAACTTGTCTCAGAAGAAAAAAAAAATTTTTTTTTTTTTTTTTTTTTTTTTTTTTTTTTTGGGCCAGACATAGTGGCACACTTCTATGATCCCAGATTTAGGAGCTGAGGTAAAAGGATTATAGTGAGTTCAAGGCTAGCCTGGGCTATATAGTGAGATCAATACCAGCCTGAAAGATACAGTGACGGGGCTGGGGATTTAGCTCAGCAGCATAGGAACCTGTCTTGTAAGCAGGCGGTCGTGAGTTCAATCTCTGGTACAAAAAAAAAAAAAAAAAAAAAAATATATATATATATATATATACACACACACACAGTGACACCCTGACTTGAAAAAAAGTTTTTCTCTAAAGTGCTGCAGAAATTGTTCAGTACAAAGACCTTGGGTTTAAATATAGTAAAATGTGTCTCTTCTTGGTAATAAATCTCTTGATGGTGCATTTGACTTCCCTGAGGATTTTGTTTCTCTGAAGCAAACCTCATTTCCACAGTGTGGATGGCACTTAAATTCATGGTGGTGGTGTCCATAGGCTCTGGTGGAAGCCCCTTGACACACACCTAGCTTATGTCACATTTTTAAACCCATGATGGAACCACGTGGTTAACTGAGCTGCCAGGACCTTCATCAGTCTGAGAAACAGACCCAGCTTTTCCACACTTGAATGATGACTGAGGGAGAAAATGAGAAATGCAGCCATGCGGGGGATTATGGCATCAACATAAAAACTGGAGGTGGGGGCAAAATACAGTCCATAACTGAGAGGCACTGAGTCCTACAGGAGACTAGTGTGCATTTTGGAGTGAGACTGTCATGGATGATTTATTTCACCTCCCTGCACTTTAACTTTCCTTTATAAGTACTATTCACCATTAATATTAAATCTAGAAATGATGTATCCTCTCTCTGGAAGGCATTCTGATCAAATGCTCATATTCCTAATAACACATAATCTAGAAGTTTTAGAACTAACTGGGAAGTGAAAAAATAATTTAATCCAGTCTGGGGATGTGGTTCAGTGGTAGAACACTTGCCTAGCATGCATGAAACCTTGGGTTTCGAGCCAGTATTGAAAAAAAAATTAAAAAGGTGACCAGTCTCCTCCACCAGAGGCCCAATTTTGGCTGACACAGATGCTACCTGCAGCTTCTGCAGGAAGGTTTCTGTCTGAGGCAGGTACTCATGGCACAGTCGTACTTCAGCAAGACCAAGCCTCAAAATCCCTTGTTACAGGGACATTCCAGAACGAGTGGACAAGGGGCTGGGGACTTAGCTCAGCGGCATAAGTACCTGCCTTGCAAGCAGGCGGTTGTGAGTTCAGTCCCTGGTACTGATAAAAACTGAAAAAAGACAAAAAGAAAAGAAAAGATACAGAATGAGTGGACTTCTAGAGCAAGACACTGCTTTAACAGCACTGGGCCGCCATCCACCTCACTTCCTGCCTTGCTGGGACATGGGCAGAGACCATTGTACATCTTTCTGTCTTACATACTATTCATTTCATCCAAGGACAAAAATATTTCTGACGTTCCTTATACAATTAATTCTTCCAGTACTGATTTAGAAGGCCGTTATTTGTGGCGCTTGTCTTACGCTGTCTGATGGGATGGTCCCCAGAGCACAGATTCAAGTGAAACTGCACACAGACAGGCTCCCTGCCCTCTGCTCTGCAGCATCTCCAGGAAACCACTGAGGACACAAAACCTGCCGAAGGAACCTTGGTCAGCCAGGACCGGACTCTTCCTCGCTCCCAGAAGTCCCTTCTGCAGCTCCAGCCTTGCTTCGTATGCAGTTTTCACCACGTCCGATTGTCTCCATCCCAGATCGATTTCTGGCCAGGATGCTGTGATGTTCTAGAGAAACAAGCATTTCCTACTGTAGCAGGGTGGGTGTGAAGGAGTCCACCAGAGCGGGGATGGAGACCTCAGTGTTGTCCTTCAGGTAGGTTTCTGATTCACCTTAAGTGCAGATTTACTGGGCAAAGTCAGAAAGTGACGGAGATGAAAACTCCAGGTAGAGAACCTGGAGAGGGCTCACCCCAACACGGGGTTCAGACTGGCACCCCCTCAAAAACATGAGGCCAGCTTTGAAGCACTGGCTGAGGCAGGCTAGGGCCAGTCCATCAGCATCTCAGTCCTGGTTTTTGTAGCCTGGAGGAATTCTTATACCCTGAGGGGAGTTGAGATTTTCTGAGACAGTATCTTGCTAGGAACTTCAGGCTTGTCCTTGAACACAAGGCGATTCTCCTGCCTCAGCCTCCCCAGTGCTGGGGTTACGGTCATGTATCACCATTCTTGACTATGCGGGGCAGTTTGGTTCTCATGAGGTGACCGTCATTTCTCAGTGAGGAAGGCTCTGCTTTTCTTGAATCTAAGGTGGTGGCAGGTTTGGGCATTGATTATGGGGCTCTGGAACTGAATGTTGTGAAAACTGATAATCCAATGCCCTATAAATCCTGAAAATGAATTTTTTTTGTACTAGGGATTGAACCCAGGGGTTTTGTACTGAGCTAAATATGCAGCTCTTTTACTTACATGTGTATGTATGTATTTAGACACAGAATCTTGCCGTGTAGTTGCAGGCAGGCTTCAACTTATCAAGTGATCCTCCTGCCTCAGCCTCCTGAGTGCTGGGCTCACAAGCATTTGCTTTATTCTTTGACATGAATTCTTGCTAAATCACCCAAGGAGGGCTTGATTCTCCTGCATCTGCTGCCTT